CAGAGCTTGGGTTATCCGGAGTGTTGCTACTCTTATTGGTGGTTTTGGTAGCCACCATGGGCTCGAGCCATGCTTTTTGGCACGGTGCAAGCACACACAAAACAAGGCAGTCCCTGTGCCGAAGGATTTAAGGCTTAGACTAGAGGTGGCCAACCAGGGGTGAGATCTGGCTCCTGGGGAAAGCTGGTGAGTTGGCTCGTTATCCAAAATCAGCCGAGCTGGGGGTGAAGGACGACGTGGTAGGACGGTGCTGGCCCAACTGGTAGGGGAAGCTGTGCGCTCCACCCGATGGCTGCTGAACTGCTTGCAGGCACGAGCCGCACGCGGTTTGATAAACCATCTGAAGGGGCTCTCTCCACCGTGACGAGCACCAGGAGCAAGGCGGTGAGGTCTGATTGAGCAGAGCATTCCATGCGCTGGATGTCTTCGTCTTGCATTTGCCAGAACATCTGATGATGGGGTGGATGCCCCATCCCTAGAAGTGTTCAAGACCGGGTTGGATGGGGCTCTGAGCAACCTGATCCAGCTGAAGACGTTGTAGAGAGTTGGACTAGATGGCCTTTAGAGGTCTCTTCCAACCCAAACCATTCTGTGATTCTGTGCTTACATTATCAGCTTTTTCCCCATTACTTCGGCTACTTTGATCTTCGAAAGGTCTGGATGAGCAGGAGTTGTCTCTGTTGCCATCCTGCTGTCATTCCTGTCTCGGCACATCATAAAAGTGGCCCTTAAGAGTGTAGTTTGGCTCCTCAGTGTAGGTTAAGAGTGAAAATCAGACAAAAAGAGGCTGAGGTGACCAGCAATCTTAGCTGATCTGTGACTCTTCAGCCATGGTTTGCCCATTGCCGCATCATTTGAGACCCAGCTTTGGTACTACGTGCCTCTGAGCTGCAGCAGCTGCGTAGCAGTGCCTGCTAGAGGTTGTAGTGAAAGCCTTGGCAGTGCAGGGTTTCGTGGAAAAACAGGATGGATAACTTGGTGGGGGGGGTAGGAAAGACTGAAAGCAGATAATACGGGACTTAATGCAGGGAGATGTCGAGTGTACGTTCTTTAAGAATAAATTTCTCAAGGGATACTGGGTGTTGGGTATCTAAACCCCTCCTCGGATCAGTGGGATGTGTGTGCCCTCTTCCCCTGGGCGTCTTTGGAAGCCGCAGCCCGTGAAGCCGCAGTGAAGTTGTCTTTGCTACCAGCCTAGAAAGGGATGTGGCTGAAGGAAGTTTGCAAGACACCTTTCTTATCATCCTGCCATCCCGGAACTCATCCGGCTTCCGTTCAAACACAGATCCTCAAGGCTTTTTTGCAGGGTGAAGGAGTCCTGAGTAACGTTAAATACATGCATGGTGCAAATTTAGAAGAAGTGTAGCCTTTGAATTGGGGTGGTAAAGGCAAAAGCCTCAATTACTGCTAGGATCTGGATTTTGTAATGCAACGTCTGCTAGCAGGGGACTGAATTTATCATTTTTGTGTCTTTTCTACTTTTTTTATGACTTGGGTTACTGGTTTTGGTGAAATCCCTTGGCGTACACTATGGCACATTGGCCATTGCACCATCGAGGCCAGATGCTGCTTCTCACTTCATGTCAGTCCCCGGAACAAATGATCAACCGGATTCTTTCTTTATTTCAAATCATTTGTCAAGGAGCAAAATTCATTTTAGGGCCGCCCTTCCCATTAATCTTCATCGGAAATTTGAGTATCGGTCACGGAGGAATGAAGCGGTGCTCGAGAGAGGTGCAGCAGCAGATGACGTCGCATGAGTTACACCTCGTGCAGCCAGTTCCCACTTCTCCAAACCTCCCGAGGTTGTCTCAGCCCCGCGCTGCCGCTCTTCACGCGTAAAACGGGGGCACGGGGTGCCCACGCCAGGCGCGTTGCAGCGGGAGACCTGGGCTGGGCTCGCATTGGCACGGGTTGCTTCTGGCTTCCTCAAGCTGAGACACCCAAAACTGCAGGCAGGGACTTTCCTTGAGAGCTCCTCGTCCCCATCCCTGAGCCCAGCTGCTCTTAATTGAACTCTTGGCTCTGCCGCTCTTAAAATTACACACGGCTGTTATCTCTTAATATTTAAACACTAATGAATTACACCAGTGGCTTACTGGTTATAGGCTTAAATAGACTGCTGTCCATTAAGAGCAGCAAGTTGTGTTTATTGATGCTATAGCTCAGCTTCAGCTCCCTGCCCTGCTGATAAAAACTTGGGGTTTGTTCCTTTTTCCTCATTACCAAGTGAAGGCTGAAATTCGTTTTGACATCCTGGCTTTGTAGCTGGGGTTTTATAAGGAAAGATTTACAAGAAGATGATGAGAGTTACTAAATTTGTTACTGTCTTGGTCTTTGATCCTTCCTGACTTATTAAAATGTATATTTCTTTGTTGCTAAGAGACTTTTGTTTTCTTTTTCTGCAGGTAACTCTGACAGAAGAGGTAAGAATATTATATTTCGTTGCTCTTTACCCAAGCCCTCGGTAAAGATGTTTCCAGAACTGTTCTGCTATTAGATAGCTCTCCTTATGACACACTTCCAAATTTGCTTTTACAAAGCTTATCGAACTCTTTAGGAGAGCTGGTGACACGCTGATATCGTAATTTGTATTGGGTTCTTGGAAATACACAATCCCATACCAATTTGTACATGTGCTGAATGCTCTGAAAATACCAGCGTTTCCGTCCCAAGAGTTGGATAAACAAGACTTAAGAAGCCATTCAAGCAATTTCCTTCTTTTTCTGCTGATGAATTGTCATTATTGACTGTGACTTGCCCTGTCTGATCCGGACCCATTCTGCAAATGATGTGAATAATTATTATTCTCCTTAATTCTGTTGGCAAGCAGTAGCACAAACCCATTTCTTGTAATATAATAGCACTTGGGCGCCTTTTTCCATCTTTTAGTTCTGAGAAGTGGCATCACTTCCAGAATATTTGCGATTACTGACTGCTTTAGCAGGATGGGAGCGGGTGGAGCAGAGGTACGGCTGGGTCCAGTCGCTGCCTGTAGAAACGAGCTCCCTCTGTGTGTTTGCATCATCGCTCTGATGGGTTCTTCAGCTTCGGAAACTCCACGGCAGTCGCTTTGCGCTGCTTGGGGTGTCAAGCTCGCACCACGGAATCACAGAATAGAATCATGGCAGGCTTTGGGTCGGAAGGGGCCGTTAAAGGCCATCTGGGCCAACCCCTGTGCAATGAGCAGGGACAGCTTCAACTCAGTCAGGTTGCTCCCAGCCCCATCCAACCTGGCCTTGAACATTTCCAGGGATGGGGCATCGACCACCTCTCTGGGCAACCTGGGCCGGTGTTTCACCACCCTCATAAAAAATTTCTTCCTTATATCTAGTCTAAATTTACCTTCTTCTAGTTTAAAACCATTACCCCTTGTCTTATCGCAACAGGCCCTGCTAAAAAGTCCCTCTCCAGCTTTCCTGGAGGCCCCCTTCAAGTAATGAAGGGTTTCTCTAAGGTCTCCCCTTGTCCTTCTCTTCCCCAGGCTGAGCAGCCCCAGCTCTCCCAGCCTTTCCTCCCAGCAGAGGGGTTCCAGCCCTCGCATCATTGCTGGGGCCTCCTCTGGCCCCGCTCCCACAGCTCCAGCTCTGTCCTGTGCTGAGGGCTCCAGAGCTGGGCGCAGGACTCCCGGGGGGGTCTCAGCAGAGCGGGGCAGAAGGGCAGAGCCCCCTCCCTCACCCCATGTCCACGCTGCTGGGGATGCAGCCCAGGGCACGGTTGGCCTTCTGGGCTGTGAGTGCGCGTTGCTGGGTCATGGCCAGCTTTTCATCCCCAGCACCCCCAAGTCCTTCTCCCCACGACTGCTCTCCATCCCTGCATCCCCCACCCTGTACTGATACCGAGGGCTGCCCTGACCCAGGTGCAGGACCTTGCCCTTGGCCTTGTTGAACCTCATGATGTTCACACAGGGGCGCAGAAAGGGCCATGCCTGCCTTCCAGAAGGCACCAAGGCATGGTTTGGTGCAGCAGGCAACGCACCCTCTCCTGGTTCCCTATGGATGGGTTGAAATACTGCATCCGTATCCCAGCGGGATGGACAGAAAGCAGCAGAGAGACCTGGAGCTCGGGAGGATCCTCTGCCTTTGAAGCATTGCTCTGCTCGTTGCACCCCTCTCCTAAAGCTTCTCCCTGCCATGGCAGCACCTTGTTAGGAGATGGGACCGCTGTGAATATGCTCTCTGGTTTATCCAGAGCCGTGATGTCTGGTGTGGCTTCTTCTTCCACCTCCCAAATACGATTGGGAAGGAAATATTGCAGGAAAACAAATAGAGGTTGCATCACGGATCCGCTCCCGCAGGCTCTGTACGGTGTTTGCAGGGAACGTAGCTGGCCTGTGCTTTAAACCCCACCTGGGATCTCAGAGGTGGGATTTAAACTCTTTAAACTGCTCTGCTCCCCCTCTGCGACCATTTTGCAGGATTTGTTTTCCAGGAGATCCACATCTCGTGTGCTGGGGTTTTGTTTAAGAAACACTGACCCTAAGTCTTTGCTTCCATTTCTTTTATCCACATTTTTTTTTTTTTCGCTTGTGATCCCATAGTTTCACAGAATCACAGAGTAACAGAATAGTAGGGGTTGGAAGGGACCTCTGTGGGTCATCTAGTCCAACGCCCCTGCTGAAGCAGGGTCACCTACAGCAGGCTGCACAGGACCTTGTCCAGGCGGGTCTGGAATATCTCCAGAGAAGGAGACTCCACAACCTCCCTGGGCAGCCTGGGCCAGTGCTCCGTCACCCTTAGAGGGAAGAAGTTCTTCCTCATGTTGTTTGTTTGATTTGACTCAAGTTTTGTTGGCAGCGGTGGGCAAGGAGGGCTGCTCCGCCCTGTCCCTCTCTGCCGGGCGTGATGTATAGGGGACAGCCTATAGACCGCTCTGTAGCACCTCTGCCTATGGTTGGAGACATGATCTCAAGCATCAGAAGATGGTTTGCTGGCTCCTCAGAGGTGCCAGGACAAGATTTAAGCATCCCGATGCCTTCCAGGCTCTGGACTAAGGTGCTCCAGCACTGGAGGTCTGTGGAATCACAAAATCACAGAATAGTAGGGGTTGGAAGGGACCTCTGTGGGTCATCTAGTCCAACCCTCCTGCCGAAGCAGGGTCACCTACAGCAAGCTGCACAGGACCTTGTCCAGGCGGGTCTGGAATATCTCCAGAGAAGGAGACTCCACAACCTCCCTGGGCAGCCTGGGCCAGGGCTCCGTCACCCTCAGAGGGAAGAAGTTCTTCCTCATGTTCAGACGGAACTTCCTGTGCCTCAGTTTGTGCCCATTGCCCCTTGTCCTGTCACTGGGCACCACTGAAAAGAGCTTGGCCCCATCCAATATTATCCTTGCGCAGGGGCCATGCTAATCTTCTCTGTATCATTCCAATTTTAGTATATGTGCTGCTGAAGCGAGCACAAAGCAGAGGGTTGGAAGCAGAGGGTTGAGTCCCCGTCCCTTGTCCAAGCGAGCTGCGAGTGTGAAACCCCTGGGGCTGAGGCTGGAGCAGGACGGGAGCTGCGGGGGGTTGGCACCGCTCACCAGGGCTGGCTGCGGGGCGGAGGGAGGGGCTGGGGGCCCTCCAGGAAAGAACGGCTGCAGAAAAACAAACCACCAACCCCCCCAGGCTCCCTGCATCCTGCTGCCAGAGGCACCCCTGCCGAAACCCTGCCCGTAAATCACGTCTCCTGCCAACCGGCGCTGGCTCAGCGCCGGCTGGGCTGAGCTTAGCCCCGTCCAAGGCAGGAGAGATGGTCCAACGACGCGTAGTGCCCTGGGCTTTGTCGCCTTCCCCTCCTCTGGCCAGGGTGGCGATGGTGGTTACGGTCGGAGGTCTCGAGGGGAAGCGTGTTGGAGGAGAGGCGAGGGCTGGCTGTGGTTGGGTGAAGAGGCTCCGTGGTGGCTTTGCCTTCCGGGTCCTGCTTTTGGAAAGCCTCGCGGTGGGTAGTGCGAAGGCTGGGGCAGCTACTGAGCGTGCAGGAGGCAGAAATGCCTCCCAGTAAATTCCTCGGCTTTTTGCTGCTGGGCTGGGGGAGGCCATCTACGTGAGGCCAGTAGATGAGAAGAACAAAGGCGTGCAAGATGGGGAGGATTTCAGATTTTCATTTGCCATACCACATCATTACCTTTAAATCATTACACCGAAAATCATCATTTTTGGTCAGAATAACATTTCCAGACCTTACAACCACAGAGGGACAAATGCAGAAATACAACCAGAGTGCTCCTTGGTAGCTCAGTAGTCAGAGATGGACAAAATAAATCCCACCTCAGAAAATCTGCTGGCTGAAATTGCGGAGACACGTGGAGCAGGAATCTGGCCGGGCAGGGAAATGCATGGACAGAAGGTGGAAAGGGGGGTCATGCCCTGCAGTCTCGGGGGGCCATGGCACGTAGACGCGGTGTGATGGCCCATACAGATAGAGCAAGCTGATGGAAAATCAAAATAACCCCAGCTGGCGTCGCTGGCATCCACATTTATCTGAAAAAATGCCCTTCGGGGCCATTTTCCTATCTGGTTAGCGTTGCTGGGCTTCCAGCCCCATCTGGGTAATTTGCTTGCACCAACCACTGTTCCACTGACCTCCAGGCCAAGCTGCAAACAGCTTATTTAACAAAAAAAGAAAAACTATTATGGGTCCCAGAGGATAGGAACATTTCAGACGTGGCTAATTCAAGTGTGTTTGCAAGGGAATTGCGCAGCGCCTGCCCTCGAGAAGCATCTGCGAGGGAGTGAGCAGCGAAGCGAGCCGAACGAGTTCATACTCGGTGGCCTTGCGGTGCGGAGCGTTCACGATGGGTTGTCTAACATCACCTCCTCTCTAAATTCAGTGTTTCCAGGGGGCAGAGAAGTCCTAGCAGGAGCCACCTCTGCGATGAGCCAGGCAGATCATGAGTAGCTCAGTAGCCCTGAACCTCTCCAGCAAACCTCAGCCTGAAGGTGTTCAGGGCCCAGGTGCAACGTGAAGCATCGCACTCTTGTCCTATTTGACATGGAACTGGAAGCAAAAGCATGATGGTTTTACAAGGGTAGCATCTGTGGGATCTTACAAAGGCCACAGTTTTCATGGAATCACAGAATCATTAAGGTTGGCAAAGACCTTGAAGATCATCAAGTCCAACCATCAACACAACACCACCATGCCCGCTAAACCATGTCCTGAAGTGCCACATCTACACGTTTTTTGAACACCTTCAGGGGTGGGGACTCCACCACCTCCCTGGGCAGCCTGCTCCAATGCCTGACCACTCTTTCAGTAAAGAAATTTTTCCTAATATCCAATCTGAACCTCCCCTGACGCAACTTGAGGCCATTAAACCTCCCCTGACGCAGCTTGAAGCCATTAGCAGTTTTCACCTGTTTTAATATAAGGTTCCTTATCGTGCTATACCAAACTCGTGGACCTGTTTAGAAGCTTCTCATGTGGATCCTTACGTCTCAGGCAGAAGACTTTGTAGGTCCTCAGGTGATAGAGCAGGAACTTCTACTGGTGGCTGGTGGGCCACCATGGGCATGTTTAATTGTGCAGAAGAAACCCCTCAGACAGCCCGCTCACAACTTTCTCAATCACTGTTTTCATCTGCAAGGTCACAATTTCACAGTGAACGACTCGTGGAGAAGATTGAGGTGCTTTGAATCGCGGTTGCGGGTTTTAATCTGACCTCAGAATACCTGAGATATGTGGTGCTCGCTCAGGTTGCGTAGGTCTTCAATGTCAGACTTGACAAGCATAACCTTACTTAATTTTTTTCATTATTATTATTATTATTGCTATTTTGCAAGCACAAATTATAGAGCTCTGCCCTGTTGAATGATGGCGCTGGATGTTTTTTGACAGCTGTTGATAACTGCACCTTTCTTCTCCTGTTGCAGATGAGACTCCAATTATAGCTGTGATGGTGGCCCTGTCTTCCCTTCTAGTCATAGTATTTATTATTATTGTGCTGTACATGTTAAGGTAAGAAATGCTTTAAGGCTGGCTTCCCTTATTTAACAGAAATTAATTACTGAATGAACAGGAATAAGCCTCTTGTTCCGTTTCCTAAGATAAAGGCTTAGTGTTTTAAAAAGAAACCTGTACAGATAATGAAGATGACATCTGCAGTTACCTAGGAAGTGATGCATATTCCTTTCTCTGGAAAGCTGCTCCTGGTGTGGGGTAATGCCTGTTCTGCTGCTGAAAATGTCATTTTTAGTGGCACATCGTGCCTGTGCGTCTTCCTCTGCGAGGTGGCGTACGACCGGAGCTTGTTAGGAGTGTTAGGGATGCCTGTAGCTGGAACAGTAACATAGCAAAGGCTTTTTTAGGTCCATTTTTAAAAAATCCCAGCATTTGGGCTGCTCAAGTGTAGCACACCCAGCTCCTGAGTGCGTATCTGCTCAGCTAGAAGAGAGCGTTTGGTCACCTGCAGTAACCATTTTAATTTACTCAACAATTTGGTGATTAAACAAGTAAGAAAAAAATATAAAAAATAAAAAACTGTCTCCATAGTGGTGGAAAAATTCCCTTCCTCTGCTGGCTCTGGGCCTGCCCTCGCAGCAGTGAACCTGAGGAGAGTTTTGCCTGGGGAGTTCAGCAGCAGCAGGCTTTGAGTCCTCCCCACCTGGCTTCCAGCCCTTAAAAAAAAAGGGTTTCTGTTCGCCGCCGCCCGCCAGGTGATTCAGCAAAACCCTTAACTTCAGGCAAGCGGAGCGTAAGCGTCTGCTTCACGTTAAAAGCACGTGGTGAAGGGCTTGGCTGCAGGACGGAGCAGCCTGGGGTTTATGTGCTTTGCTGAATCAGCCTGTGGAGCAGGAGCTCCTTGGGGCGTTCTCCTTAAAAAACAGCCTTAAAGCTTCTCCTCCTGGCTTTCACCTTGCTGTGGTCTCCAGCAGCCTTTCCAGATGTGGTCAGCTGAAAGTTACACCAGTAGGCAGGGTTTTAGATGTCCCTCTTGGACCCACCAGCTAGTTCCTCAAGCTGTAAGGAAGTGAGGAACACCCTTCATGGCCGCGTCTCTCATCCAGAAGGTAGCTTGGGCTTCTTGGTGGTTGTCTACTGATGTTCTCCCCTCCCTTGCCTTCCGCAGGTTCAAGAAATACAAGCAAGCAGGGAGTCACTCCAACTCCTTTCGCTTGTCCAACGGCCGGACGGATGATGCAGGTGAGGCCCGCGTCGGTGCGACACGGGGAGCGAAAGTGCAGCTTGCAGAAGGAATAAGCTTTGTTCAGATCGAAGCGGGTCAATCCAAACGTTCTTCAGCATAGCAATCTGTTTGGCTTTCATTTTGCCCCCCTGCTTGGAGTCGGCCAAAGTTAGCTAGCGAAATAACCAGCAATCCTCCTATAAATTGTAAAAATTACAAAAAAGTCATCAAACCCTCGAAGCGGCAAAAGCAGGGTTGGTTTATGCCCTCCGGGGCGGCTCTCCGGGCAGCACAGAGCTATCCAGGGTGGTCTGCTGACCGTGCAGTGCCTTGAATGGAAATGGGAACGCGCTGGTGGTTTGCTGGAAATGTGTAAAAATGAAGATTGTGTTCTGTTTTAGTGTGGTCTCAGAAGGGCGTATGAAGGCGGTCCTGAGTATGTATTTATATTATTTCTGGTGGGAATAATATAAATATTATACACCAGAATAAATATAAATACACTAGAATAATATAAATATGATGCACCAGAAGACAGACCTCTGTAGAAGTCCAGGAAGGCCCGTGGATGTGGCATTGTCACAGCCCAAGCCCGATGCAGTGACAAGGGCCTGGGGACTCGGTGGGCTGGATGCCACGGCTTTGTTCTCCCACCTTGTATTATTGTAGGAAAGTGTTTTTTCATCTAAATTTTTATTTGTTTGTTGTTCTGAACTTTCTCTGTTTTCCATGATTTTGGCAAGCTTTTATAGAACAGGAATTCGCTTCCCAGCTTTCATTCCAGAAAGAAGATGTTTGCCCTCAAGTGGTTGATGTTAAAATGGGCGATCACTTCCAACACTGAACTACTCACAGTTCCTCTTGAGTTTTCACAAGATCTCTTTGGCTCAAACAAGAACCTTTTTTGAAAAAACACAGCTTTAGGAGATAATTAAATAACCTTCCACCCTTTCAAATTAGGATGATGACTGATTAAAACTCTCATGCAGATCTTCACGCTAACTGTAGGCACCAAACTGAGAGAAAGCAGGGAATATGTTGCTTTTTTTGTTATAAAAACCTTTCTGGACCTCTTAAAGATGCATAAACGCAATTTTAAAGTCTTGTGCTATAATGTCTAAAGTTTGCTGGCCCTGAGCTTGTCTCGTTTTCTGGTTCTGAGCCAGAGCTGCCCATTGAGGGTCAGAAGTTAGGCATCTCCATCCATATGCAAGCACCTAAGTGAGTGCTTGAAGAAGATCCACCGCCTCTTAGACTTGGTTCAGGTCCTTTTTCTGAGCTCCCTCCACATAAACCAAACACCTTCAGAGCGAGCGCTAACTGAAAGTCAGCACCTTTTTTTTCCACCTTGGCAGCTAAGACCTTCCCCACCCGTTCTACATTTCTGCAGGCGGAGGTGTGAACTCCATAAACCGTGGGTTGCGTTGGGATAACCTGCGCGTGGCCTTTCTTGGCTGCGCTGAGGAACCACAGCAATAGCTACCGTTGCTGTGTCCACCTGGGACTTGTGTTACGGTGGTGGTGCCAAACTTCCCACGTGAGTGAGGGTGAAGTCTGAATTCAAAGCGGGGTGGTCTTCATGCCCCAGTATTGATGACTTGGAGTCGTAGTCATTTAGGTTGGAAAAGACCCTTAAGATTGTCAAGTCCCACTGTAAATCTGATGCTGCCAAGTCCACCACTAAACCATGTCCCTCAGCACGACATCTGCACGTTTTTTGAACCCCTCCAGCGATGGGGACTCCACCACTGCCCTGGGCAGCTGGTCCAATGCCTGACCACTCTCTCAGTAAAGACGTTTCTCCTAATATCCAATCTAAACCTCTCCCGGTGCAACCTGAGGCCATTGCCTCTCGTCCTATCGCTGGTTACCTGGGAGAAGAGACCAACCCCCACCTCACTACACCCTCCTGTCAGGTAGTTGTAGAGAGCGATAAGGTCTCCCCTCAGCCTCCTCTTCTCCAGACTGAACAGCACCAGCTCCTTCAGTCACTCCTCATCAGACTTGTTCTCCAGAGCCCTCCCCAGCCTCGCTGCCCTTCTCTGGACACGCTCCAGCCCCTCAATGTCCTTCTTGGAGTGAGGGGCCCAAAACTGAACACAGCACTCGAGGTGCGGCCTCACCAGTGCCCAGTACAGGGGCACGATCCTCTCCCTGCTCCTGCTGGCCACACCATTGCTGATCCAAGCCAGGATGCCGCTGGCCTTCTTGGCCACCTGGGCACACTGCTGGCTGATGTTCAGCCGGCTGTCAACCAGCACCCCAAGGTCCTTTTCTGTGGGGCAGCTCTCCAGCCCCTCCTCCCCAAGCCTGTAGCATTGCATGGGGTTGTTAGACATGGTCGTCGTTGCCGTTTCATCCCCAAATTTTTGTGCACCACCTGTAGGAACAGCAAAAGGCCAGGAAGTGTTCAAGGCCAGGTTGGACAGGGCTTTGAGCAGCCTGGTCTGGTGGAAGGTGTCCCTGCCCATGGCATGGGATTGCAGCAAGATGATCTGTAAGGTCCCTTCCAACACAAACCATTGTGTGATTCTGCGAAAATAAGGACAGCGAGGATGCAAGGTGGCCCTGAAAGCAGACAGCCCAGGGTGTGTAAGGTCCCTGTGCCCACCTGGGCATGGATGAGTGCTGGGCACGGGGAGCGGCTGGGTGGGCACCTCTGATGCGTGGGTGTCGTTGCAGAGCCTCAGAGCATGCCGCTGCTCGCCCGCTCCCCCAGCACCAACCGTAAATACCCGCCTCTGCCCGTCGATAAGCTGGAAGAGGAGATCAACCGCCGGATGGCAGATGACAACAAGCTCTTTCGGGAGGAGTTCAACGTGAGTGCCTTTGCTTCTTGCACTTAAATCCCGCAGGCTGCTCTCGGCATTGAGTTTAGGATGGGCAGCAGGGGAAAATCTGGCCTCACTTCATGGAGCTGTGACGAAACAGCTGGGACATCAGGGAGGAGCTGCAGCGTGCAGTGGTACCCAGCTTGGGGACGGCACATCAATAAAAAATCAATAAAATAACGATGCCGGTGCTGGATGCCGTGCTTCAGCAGACCTTACCTGGGAGCATCATGGAGGGAGTTACGGTCTGCCCGGTCCACAGGAGTTTCTCAAGGGGCTGCGAGGTGGGAGGACTGATTCTAGTCCTGAATCTGCTGTGGTGGTGGGCAAACCACTGCTCCTCATGTTCACTGCAGACAGTAGAGCTTTTCTAGCAAGCGGCGCTACGGGGTTACGTTTTTCTGGGTGCGGGAGGTGTCCTGGATGTCTTTGGGTCCTCCAGATCCTCCCTGCCTGCTGGTTTGCTCCCAGGCTCTGCCTCCCTCCTCCCAATCCTCACGGCTTAAATCCACAAACAGTTAAAACAAGAGCTCTGATAGCAAACCAGAGATGACCCCATCTATTTCAGTGAGCTGTTAACCCCGAAACAGAATGATGACAGTTTATAGGACAGCAGTTGTCCTTCAGCAGTGAGTGATAATTCAGGTCTTGTGCTTATCCCACGATGCTGAGCACCTCTCCTGAGATGGCCACCACCTCTTCCTGACGTTGCTGAGCTCTGCAGCTTCTTGTGATGATAAACCTGTTTCACCTTGGCAATACGAAAACAGGCAGAGCGGTAATGAGGTGTAGGCGACAACGTTAAACAACAGGCTGGAGTATCACAGCGTGTAGCGTAGGAGATGCCTGGACTCTCCATCAGCCTAAGGAAAGAAAGAAAATCTACTGTTGGTCTGGTTGTCCGCGCTGCAAAGGTGTCACCTGAAAATACACAAAACCTTAGGTCCAAGGTGTGGTACGGCAATAGGAGGATGATGAGAAGATAAGAAAAAAAGCCACCCGACTTTCTCCAGCTGTCGCACAACTCGATACCCTTCCTGGCCACGCTTCGAAGAAACCAAATAGGTGCAAACGAATGCCCGGGGAGGCGAGGGTTTAGGTTATAAATACTCCATGGCCTTGAAGACTTCTGTTGCCAAAGCACGTCCGTCCTGTCAGCTGGGAGGGGTGGTGAATCCCCTGATACCTTCTCATCCTCTTCGCTGTTCAGTGAGGATGTGGAAAAACGGTGCTGGGGAAGCACCTCCTCTGCTCGAGCGCGAAACCCGGCTACTGTGACCAGGACAGCGTCGCCTGTGACCCCAGCACCCCCCAAACCAAAGGTCCCCGGCGCTGCTGGGTGAAGAATAGCTCCCTGCATGGGTGCACCTTCCCAGGGGTGTGCTCGGGTGGTGGGGGCTTTGATCGGGTCACCGTTAACATCACTGTTAACGGAGGAAACCTCAGCAGGAGCCTCCGCAGGCAGAAATGAGCTCCTCCATGGCTGGGCTGGTGGGTTTGGTGCCGGAGGCTTTGCTGCCACCTCGTGTTCTTGGGTCCTGAGATTGCAGACACCGCGTTTCAGAAGCGATTTTGCTCTCTCTGGTCCAGCCCAGGCTATTGGAATGGTCACCTTGAGCTCAGTGGGGATGAGGAGCTGGTGCTGAGGTGGAGGTGAGGGGTGGGGGTGGTGGGGATGCGTCCGAAGGGGCAGGTGGACAAGGGGTTGCTGCTCACCTCCCTCCTGGAGGCCAGCAAAGGGTGACCACCCTCTGGTGGGATGCTTGGATGTGGCATGCACCGGCAGGCAGGTTGCGTTGTGGTTACTGGTGTGCCATGAGTAAGAACATTGTGGAAAACCCCATTTTCTGCCATTGCAGGCTCTCCCAGCGTGTCCCATACAGGCCACGTGTGAAGCTGCTTCCAAGGAGGAAAACAAGGAGAAGAACAGATACGTGAACATTTTGCCCTGTAGGTATCGGGGCTGGTTGGGCACGGGGGACATGGCCAGTGCTGCTGCCTGGGCTCCCTGTTCCTCTTCTCGGGATGGGAAAGGACATGGTTGAGCTCATTTCACCTCCCAGATGGATGACTGCATCTGCTTGAGCTTTAGATACCCACCAGGAGGAGCTCCCTGGAGCCCTCCACGGAATTAAATGGATGGGAAATGGCCAGCTCTCGCTGGGCGGCGTGGGGCGGTGGGCTGCCTCGGTGGCTGCCTCAAATGTGTGCGCTCTGCCGAAGAAAAACTTCTTGGGCGAGGTCTAGCACCTCTCCAGGCTTAGGCAAGAAGAATTTGGGGGCATAAAAGTGTTTGTGTATGCGGGGGAGCCAGCGAGCCGGGGCTCCCCTCCGACACCCAGCTTTCTTGCTACGCCAGGTATCAGCTGTGTGGAGGGAGTGAGTTTTAATACAAAGTTCTACTTTTCCTCCAGATGATCATTCCAGGGTTCACCTGACTCCTGTCGAGGGAGTTCCTGACTCCGACTACATCAACGCCTCCTTCATTAATGTGAGTTTTGTGATTTGAAGGGGAAATCCCCGCCGGCTGCGCCCCGGCCGGCGGTGCCTGGTCCCACCAGGAGCGTGAGGCCTTCGTCGGGTGTGACTTTTGCCTAGGAGAGGATGGTGGAGAGACTACCTCCTATGTTAACATCTCCCCAGCTCCTCCAGAGCAATAAATCATGCTATTTTTTGGTCTTGTAACCTTTATGTGGCCATGGTAGAGCTCACAGTGCTTCGCTCCGTGCCGTGAGATCAGACGAGCGTGGTTGGAGTAAGGGGCTGAGAGCCGGGACTCAGATTCTAGCTGTAGCTCTGCACTTCCTCGACTGCTTTGCCATGGTCCCATCTCTTCCCACCTCTCTTTTCCCCACTGCTAAAACAATGAGAACCTCTTGCACTCCTTAGGGTGCTGCAAAGTCGAGCCGGCTGGTTTGGAAGGGTTTTGGGAACCGTTCCTGCAGGAACTGGGGATTTGTGATTAATGGCTGATGAGGGGTGTGGCTGGTTAATCATCGGTACTTCCCAGCTTGCAGGCCTGGAGGTGGGAAGGGGATGCAAAAGCAATTGAGGAACCCAGGTAAGGTAGAAGCAACATTGCCCTGCTCTGCTCCTAGGAGGAGATGGGTCCTGTATGGTTATCACCATATAGCTCCAAGAGTTGGAAGGGTAATACGAAGAAGTATCACAGAATGGTAGGGGTTGGAAGAGCCCTCTGTGGGTCATCTAGTCCACCCCCCCTGCCGAAGCAGGGTCACCTACAGCAGGCTGTAGAGGACCTTGTCCAGGCGGGTCTTGAATATCTCCAGAGAAGGAGACTCCACAACCTCCCTGTAGACCTCAAAGTAGACTTTGAGAAGGATGGAGGCACGTGGAGAAAAGAGAGACCCAAAAGAGCTTTTTACTTTCTTCACCAATAAATAAATATCCATTAGGGAACACACAGAATCGATGCCCATGAGTTCAGCAGCCCCATCTCCCGGAGATGAACGCGGATTTTAAACGTGGTGCTCTGGGTGCCGGGTCTGGTCCCGGCAGAAGGCCTGTGGGGTGTCGCTTCGTTAGCGCTTTGTGCCAACAAGTGGGGTCGTTCCCGCGTTACGTGAGCGTGGGGAGTGTTGCTCTGGGGCAGGGACCCTCTGCACGGGGATTTTCCATTATTTCTGCCCCGCTGTTGGAGCTGTTTCTCCCCTCGGAGGCTGCAGCCCCTGCTCTGCACAGGGCAGCGAGCAGCAGAGCAGGTGATGCCTCTATTAATGATGTGGCTGCACTTCGTGCCTCTTGTGTTAGAAAAATACAGGTCTTTCATTTCTCTTCCTTTTTCTCCTTTTCTCTCTAGGGGTACCAAGAGAAAAACAAGTTCATTGCTGCACAAGGTAAACGCTTGGTGGTTCCTGTAGCTCTGTCTGGTGGCGGCTGGGCTGGGGTCCTGCTGCTCTGCAAAGCTGTGCCAGTCTGACCACGGCGCAGCGCCTGGCAGAGCTCCCCTGCTCGAAAGGAGCCTTGGCCGGTCCACACTGGTTTTCCCAGTCAAAGGCCAGTGCTGGATGCATTGGGGGAGAAAGAGAAGCCCCACCTGTGCAATACTGATTGCTGGAGAGTGTCAAAGCCTTTCCTCCCTGAGCCTTGTCCTTCCACCCTGGCCCACAACTGCCTGTGCTCATGGTCTCTGGAACTGTTGCTAGTGAGCTGCTTAATTAAATTCACAGAATCACAGTTGTGTTAGGGGTTGGCAGGGACCTCTGAGGGTCACCCAGTCCAACCCCCTGCCCAAGCAGGGTCACCCACAGCAGGCTGCACAGCACCACGTCCAGGCGGGGCTGGAATATCTCCAGAGAAGGAGACTCCACAGCCTCCCTGGGCAGCCTGGGCCAGGGCTCCATCACCCTCAGAGGGAAGAAGTTCTTCCTCGGGTTCAGCTGGAGCTTCCTCTGCTTCAGTTTGTGCCCGTTGCCACTTGTCCTGTCGCTGGGCACCACTGGAAAGAGTCTGGCCCCGTCCTCCTGACACCCACCCTGCAGATATTT